TCTTTTGTCATACGGGTGACGTGCGCATGCATGCCATTTGCAACCCTTAATTAATTTTTTTTATCAATCACCTTTACATGTTTCCTCTGCTTTTTACACGTACAGGGAATTTCGGTCTCTTAAGAGGTGAGTGCTATGGCTTTTCTAACCATGTTTTCTATTTTTTATGTGTTCATTGGTTGAGGCCTTACTCTAACGTTTTCGGCTTCTTCCCTATAACGCATAAACTATCTAACCCACACATCGTTTTGATTCACAATATGCATTCAATCCGTATTTGAACTCGGAAAGCGAATTTAGTGGCTGTAATCTGGTAAGTCAATCGCATCTTCAGTACTTTACATCGGCACTTTATCCTTCTGTTACTACTACTACTACCATTTTGCCTAAGACAGTCGTGTTAGTTGTTCAATTATCGCTCCAACCACAAGTAAAATACCGTCGTCAGTAGCATATTTCGTCATCAAAGCGATGGATGAAGTTTTATTTACCAGATCTACTAATGAACACCGCGGGGAAGAATTTATTCCAATGAGAATTCATTCCTCGAGTTGGTCCCTGAACAGCTATCGCAGCAAGCAACTAAGCTATTAACATTAGAATAGTTTGAGCTTCTGCTGATGAACGTGTGTTGTCACTGGATCCCGTCTGATATTTTGGACAAACATGCAGCGCGACCAGTTGCAGACTTGAGCGTTCTGCATGTAGTGAATCCACTCTTGTGTTGAAGAATGATTCCAAGGACGATTGAAAAGTGTTTGTTGCAACTTCTTTTCTAGACACATGCTCTTTCTTAAAGGGTTGTTGCGCTAGGATAACAGTCTTGCGATCTATTTTGAAGATAGACAATTCGAGTCTTTCCCAGGGGAACGTCGTCGACCAGATGGAGCGAGAATAGCTGAACGAGTGGGCAGTCAGGCGGGTGAGCGAGCTAGTTAACGAACGCACGTGAGTGCGCTCCTGCTCACGCACAAACAGGGCCAGTTGGCGGGGGGTCCGGCTAGGACTACGAGGAAGGAGATTAGAGCGCGTTTTCGTGCCTTTCACGCCTCTATACCACATTAATAGTCCGTGTGCGTGTGCACGCCTGCCTCAACATCGCATTCCACATCATTTTGCTATGCCTATTTAGATAAGCGCTCGACGGATTACGATGAAACAGAAGCCCGACGTTTCCTTAAAAACTACCTATGAATCGTTTGCTCTCGTTGTCTCAGAGTCTGTTGATTGACTTTGACATTGCCATTTCCCTCCTACTCCTGTGACCGACATGACCTGTGAGAGCTAGAATACCTACATACTAGTGTTG